TCCCGCCCTGACAGGTCCAAATGAAGCCGGCTTCAAAAGGGCACCGGCAGCTCCTGCCAGGCAGAAATACTGCCGGGCTCTCACCGGCCGTCTAGACGCCGTAGCCCCCCTCCCCGACCCCTCCACGTTTCCGTCCCCCTTTCCTGGGCTCCGCTATTCATCAGTGGGTCGCAGCAACTGGGGACAGAGGGAACCGAGACAACCAAGGCCCTGCCAGGGCTGCTGAGAGAGCCGGGATGGCGACCCCAGGCTGTGCCCGGCCTTTGGGGAAGAGGAGGGTTCAGGTCTGGCGGCACCAGGCATCCTCCGTGCATTCTCCCGTGCTCAGGAGGAGCAGGCAAGTCTGCGCGTGTCCCTGCTCCCAGCCCCACCGCGCCAGGCTGCCTCCCCCCTTCCCCACCCGCCGCTGCTCAAGCAGCAGACAAAGAGGCAGGCGGCCCGGCTGGGAAGCTCTGCCGCGCTGGCAGACAAAGGAGCGGCGGGCGGGGGGGGACTGGGAGGCAGACCCAGCTGCTCTGTGGCCGGTGAGACAGAGGTTCCCGATGAGGGACCTAAGCTAACACACTCGGAGCTGTGCTGCGGGGCCTCTCGACCAAGCCCCAAGCGCCCCAGGGCCTGCACAGAGCCACTGCCCCAACCCGCGACTGAGCTCGATACCTAGGTCACCAAAATAGAGGGGAAATGGCCAGCTTGGGCAGGTCAAGGAGGTTTCACTGCAGTGCACAGCCTCACCCATGCTACGGAAAGAAGGGGAACATCTATACCAGAGCAGGGGCAGGCCCCCCTCCAACTGCTTTCAGTTGATTTTGAATTGTCAGGTTTTAAGATGGATCTTAGAACTAGTCCCACAAAGAGCAAAATCTATTGCCCTAGCGAGTTCTGTTCGCTGGCAGCCAGCTCCCCCAGGCCGGATCTCAGCTGTGGGCACACGGCTCTGGAGACCGATGCCAAATTGTGCCAATGTTCACATTCCCAATGCAATGTCTCCACGGACAGCAGCGCCGCGGGGAGCTCTAGGGCCAGGCCCAGGGGGCAGCCACGAGGCCAGACAGCTTCCACCACCCCATCTTTAAGCAGGGCACATAATGGGTTATAAACCTGTATAAACCTGAGATCCCCCCCACGGAGGTACCTGCCTGCCATCAAATATACGACCTTATTACCCTTATGATTTCATTATGCGCAGGCGGCAGCAAGGCAGGCTTGGCTCTCCGACAGCTCGGCCGTAATTCTGTACAGACGCCACCGTAAAGGGCAGGGCATTTCTTCAAATAAGGTCATAAAAAAAACTAACGAATGCAGAAAATCTCCTACAGATCTCACCCGGCAAGGGGGAGCAGGGCCATAAAACCCCGCGCGCCAGCGCTGCGGGTCTATGTGATTCCATATATTAGCTCTGCCGTGGAGACGGGCTCCGACAGCCCGCTGGCTTGCGCCTCTGGCCAGGAATCCTGTGCAGTGTTGGGGAAGCCAGGACCCTGCCCTGTTGTTTTGCCCCAGTGCTGTTGTTCCTGCCCCCGTGGATTCGCTGGGGATGACAAGCTAGTGGGCACAGTGAGATGCAGCCAGCCCAGCCCCTGGTAATCCCTGGCCCATGCACTGAGGCTGTGGCAGGCAGGGACACAAAGCACCCGAGTGCTCGTGTGCATGGTGTTCAGGCCAGGCCGAGGGGCAACGATTCTGGAGAGAGGCCCTAACGAATATGAGACCACCTACATGGGATCCCTGCAAGCTCTTGTGGTCAGCACCACTGGGGTCAGGGCCAGACAACTGCCCTGGCTCAGCTGTGGGCACCCAGAGCTTCGCTCATGTTCTCAAAGAGGCTGGGATTTCCCCACCACCATGCAGCGCCATGCCACATCCCAGCAGCGCCCCAGTCAGGGTGCCCAGGACTCCACGGGCACAGACACCAGGTGCAGACCAGTGCTCACCAGCTGCATGGAGCAGCGTCTGGCAGGGGAGGCTGCTCCCAGGGCCAGAGCCACAGAAGCGCCCAGTGACCATGGGCTGCAGCAAGGGAAGGCAAGGACGCAGCTGGGGGGCACTTCAGAGACCCTACACGGAAGGAACAGGCCTCTCGTCCCTGCCATGGCTAGGGCCCTGAGCTACAGCTGTGGATGGGGACACATGGCACTAGAGCAAGCAGCTGGCATCTGGGGACTCATTTGACTTGAAGCTTCAAGGGATGCCAGACAGCAAGTGGGGCCCTGTGCTCTAGTGCCTTAGCACTCATGGCTGGGGCCAGGGCAGCAGTCAGCTGGGCCCAGTATAGGGCTCTGGAGCCAGCACTGGAGCACAGTGTGGTCCTCCTGCCCTCTCATTCTCCTCTGAAAGCTGCCCCCAGCCACAGGAAGCCTCGGGAGGACCCAGCTGTGCCAGCACAGCCTGGCACATGGTGTTCCATCAGGCCAGTGCCCAAGGCAGGGCAAGGAAGCCACAAGCTCACCTCTCTCTTTTTCTTGGCCTTGATGTCGTCGGTGCTGGCGGGGAGGCTGGACTTGCGCTTGGCACCCTCTGACTTCTCCCGAGATTTGTTGTTCTCACCCTCCTTCATCTTTTTGTACTTTTTCATAAACTCCGCAATCAGCTCAGGGCAGTCCAGGTTCTTTTCGGGCTCCCAGGTGTTGTGCTCCCTGCCAAGAAAACAGCCCTCATAAGTGCCAGGATGGGGACACCGGGCACTACCCCGGGGAGGGACAAGAGGCGACTGAGTGGAGGCACCCCCGGGGACCCCCAAGCTCTGGCCCCGAGCTGGGGCTAGGCGGCACTACAGAGCGCGGCTGTTGAACCGTGGCACCACAGGCAGAGACGCCAGACCAGGCCAGGCCGAAGAAACCGCTACCAAAGCCCTCAATGCCACGTACCCGCACGGCCCTGGCGATCATCACAACGCCCTGCCCCCCGGCATACAGCAGTGTGCATCCATTTAAACAGCTCACCCCAGAACACACGCCAGAGTCCCCCACTCCACCATGGCCGTCGCATCCCCCACAGGCTTGGCCAAGGGCCACGGGGAACGCGAAGGCCCCACAGCAGGTCCCGGCTCGGCCCGCGCACCCCGGCGCCCACACGCCAGCCCCGGCCCCGCGCCAGGAGGAAGCTGCAGACAGTCGCGCTGGTGAACGGCTCGAGTGGAACGACCAACTCTGGGAGGGGGGACGCAGAAGCTGGGGAGGGGAAGGGAGCTTTTGCCACAGGGGGTTCGAGAAAGTGCTTCGGAGCCCCGGCCCTCTCCTGGCAACCCGCTCGCTTAAATGGATGCACGCCGCCCACCCGTGTGGGAGCAGGGGGGAGACCAAGGAGGTCGCCCGGGGAGTGCTGCCTGCTGTGAGACAAGAGAGCCCAAGGCAGAAGGAAAGTTGGACTTACTCGGAAAATCCTTTCCACTTGAGGAGATACTCCACTTGCCCCTTCACCACACGCCTGTCTAGCACCTTCTCCACAACATACTCCTCCTCATCTTCAGAGGACGAACTATCTGCTGTCCTCTTGCTTTTCTTTCCCATAGTGCAGGAAGCTCCACCTAACGCGCCAAGGCCACCCAATTCCTGCAAATTGGAAGCGAGATGTTGTTAATCGCTGGCCCTGGCGCGGGGGGAGGGGGTCTCGGCACCGCTACCCGCCCAGGGGTCGCCCACACCCAGGTCCCCCTCCCACCCATTCTCCCCCCGCAGAGCGCAGGGAGCTCCCTGGCCTGAGCTCGCCGCAGGATCAAGCCTGAGGAGCCCCCGCGAGGACGGAGAGACGCGTGGGCCTGTCACAGCATCTGCCCAGGGCTGGGGAACCCTTGTGGCCCTTCACGAGAAGCCAGTGGGGCACGGGGGTAGAGCTGGGGGTCCCTCGACTTCTAGCCTACCAAGGGCACAGCGAGGGCCCAGCTCTGCATGGGCTCAGGATCCCACGCCAGGGCCTTGTTGCTGCTGGGAGAAGAGGGGAGGGAGATCCACCCACAGGAATGGCAATGTCAGAAGCTGCAGAATAAAGGGCCTGGGAATTCACCCATAGGCCGTCAGCGCCGGGGACCTGTCTACAGCAGGGCTCCCCTCCTTCGCTAGGGAGAGCCTGGAGGTTCTCGAACTAATGCTCCCCCCCGCCCCCTCCCCACAGCTTACAAACACTAGTCCACATAACCACCCTGCCCCAGGACGGCCCCGTCACGGGGCTCCGACTTTGAAGTCCTGCCTATGACGCGAGGTGCGGCTGTAGCAGCCCACCCTGAACCCACTATTCCAAGCCTACAGCACAGACAGCACCCAGAGCTCTGAGACACAGGTCCCCCTCTGCCATATCTAGCTCTTACAAGAGGGTTAAATTCATTACCGGCAGCAAAGAGCTCAGGGCCTGTAGCCACGCGGGACCCAACAGATGGGCAGTGGGTCACAGGACCGAAGGCTGGGAGCCGCAGCGACGGTGCAGACTGCCACCCAGAAGCTCCGACTTGTTCCCAACCCAGGTGACAGCTAACCCTACGCAGCAGCCCGGGCCCTAATTCGACCGGGTTGCTTCCACGAGACACACGGGGCAGATGCAAGAGACGAGTCAGCCCCCAGCTAGAATCAGACGGCCCCAGAGCTGAGCTAAAACATGACGATGGCTCCTTCTGCTTGGACTGGATGCAGTATCCCAGATGGTGGCTGGTAACCACAGGTATTCATGGCGTGACAGTCACATTGCTGCCAGGCTTTGTTATGGAAAGGGGTATTTTACTGGGGGATTTATAACTCGGCTGTAAAAATTCATTCCGTGAGCCTGGGAGGCTTCAGGGCCAGGGCCAAGTTTCTGAATAAAAATTAAAGGGGAAGAAAAGGGGGGAAAAACCCCACAATGAGATGCCGCTTGACTTACAAGATCAAACAGCTGGTCCGAGCTATAACCTGCCTTGCTGCCTGTTTAACAAATCTGAAGGCAGCCACAATTAGCCCCTAAACGCCGCGTGGGTCGACTGCGATGGGGTCCAAGGGGCTCATTTCATCCTTAATTACAGACCCCCTCAACTTTACAAAGCCTGCTGGGGGCTCCAGCAGACAGCACATGGGATCCGACAAGGGGGCTCGGTTTGCTGCAGGGGGGGAGCCAGGAAGGCTGTGAACACTTCCAGGGCAAATCCATGTTTTCTTATGACTGTTATTGTTATTATTTTAACAGGCCTGGGCAGACCCCGGGAATCCTGCAGCCGGCAGCCTCCCCTCTCTTAGCATGGGATTGCCTGGTGGTGCAGCTGGGTCAGACACTGGGGAAGGACACGCACAGGCACGCAATGGACCAGCTGGGGCAGAAATCGCCTTGAGACGCAGCCCGGGATGGATCACGGGCAGACCCGCATGGATCGCACAGCTCCGCAAGCCTCAGACGGCAGTCTCATTTGGGAACCCACCAATAAGTCTGCTGTCGGTCTCGAGAGCAGAGCCACGCTCCAAAGGATGTCCTGATCCCAGGCTGTGGGGAGGTCCTAAGCCAGGGGCAGGGCACACAGGCACCCCTCAACCCATGAGTGTCTCATGAAATCCATCCAGGCGGTGAACGGGTACGGACACGGTCACAGCCCAGCCCTCCCGAGATCCCTGCTCCTCAGAGCTGCAGGCAAGGAGACATATGCTAGCGGGCTGATCCCAAAGGGCTTGATTCTGCCAGGCACCAAGTGCCCGTGCCCCAGAGACCACAGCTCCCACGGCTACGATTGGCACAGGACTCCCGGGAGAGCCCGCTCTCCGTAGCCGGCTTCCCCTCGGGCTGTCGGTGCTGCCATTCGAGCAGCCTCTATCGAGCAGCGTTTTACAACTAGTCGTGTTAAGCCTGCTTAGCACAAGCTTTGTTGCCACTGTCCTACGGGGAAAATCCTGCCTTGGACACGCCGTTATTACTGCTGACAGTTTAAAGGAGCAGAATGGGTGGGGGAAACCACCCCAGCATGCCATAAAGAGCCATTCCCCATGCCCCCAGGGGGGATATATGCCAGTGTGGGGGGCTAGGCAGTTAATGAAGCTCAACGCAGGCCCCAACGGCCACCCATGGAGCCGCAGGGACACCCCACGCTGGCTCATTTGCGTTGGGCCTGGAGTTTCTTGTAAACATTGCAAAACGCAGACATGCAGGATGCAGCCTGCCAGGGGCCGGCCAGCTCCAGATGCTACCCAGACCCAGAGAGGCGGGGAGAAAACCCCGGGCAGGATTCCCTCCTATGCCTACACCAGCAGCTTGGGAGGCTGCATCCCCGCAGTCCCAAGTCGTGACAAAGGAGGGTGACGGAGGAAATCGAGCCAGTCAGAGCCTGTTGTTGGTCTGCGGAAGCTCAAAGGTAAGATCACACAAGGCAGGCACCATAAATCAAGCCAGGCAAAGGCTACTCTGTGCCTGGCACGTACCCCTGAGTCGATGGCTTGGTCCTGTAGCCACAGCCAACGTGACCTCTGCTACCTGCAGGACATGCTGCTCTGGCATTTAAGATGCCCTGGCAAGGCTGGAGTGTCTCCCCGAACGCCACCCTTCACAACGCCTCCTGGGCTGCGGCTGCTCACAGAGCAGTGCCCAGGACACACAAGATACTGCCAGACCCCCATGCAACAGTCACTAAGGACGAATGCTGCTAGTGCCGGGAAGACCCCGCTGCACCCGCACCCCCACGCCTGCCACTACTCAGGGAGACAAAATAAATCAACAGGCCGACTTTGCTGGCTGTGCGGGGAACAGCTTGGATGGCTTTGATCCCAAAATGCTGAGAGCCCAGATCTGCTCCTGGCCTGACCGAGGAGGCGGCTGGGAAAAGCAGTGCCTGGTGCCGGGGACCAGGGGATCACCACATCACCGCTGGTGATTTTCAGAGCGCCTGTGGTGTCAGCTGTGCTGACCAGTGTATTCAGAGACTGGGGATGTTTTGCAGGCAAAGCCTAGCTCATCCCCCACTCTCCCCAGGGATTAAACCAATCCAACCAGCTGGCTACCCTCTGCCTGCCGCCTACCACCAGCTCCCAGACACTGCAGCGGGGAAGCTGCCAGATGCATGCTTGTCTGCCCAGCCATGTCCATGAGCCAGTCGGGGCTTTCCACACTGCACTCCTCCCCACTTTCTGCTTTGGGGAGGGAACCGAGCCCCCCACCAACTCCCAAGCACTCTCTGGGCTTGCTGCCATGAATATAACCCTTCCTGGTGGCTTAGGGGACCCAGGGGGAAAGCCTAGGAGAGAGGTAGTAGGAAGCGGCTGCTCAAGGGGAGAGGAGGGGCATGCAAGGATCGTTCATAAATGCAGCGCTGCAAGCCTAGCACCTGGGTCCTGGGGACCTCCCACGTGCTTCAGCCATCAACAAACAGGCTCCGGGCTCGGGATCAACTTGAGCTCAGCTACCGCGTCAGGGTGTTTGCTCTACAAATCACCCAGACGCCCCAGTGCCGGGACCTGGGTAAATACAACCCAAGCGGCGCTGAACGATTCCTTTGCCCCGCACAGTGAGGGGATCCTGGCAGCCTCCTACCCAGCCATTCCACTCCAAAGCAATTTCTCTCTGTAGCAATTTAAGAGCTGTAAAAACTCTAATGGGCGATGACAGGAGAAACAAACCACACCAGAAGTTATTGAACCTTGCTGGGCCTCGCGAGCGTCTCTATTGACATTTAAGCGTGAGTTATTGGGCCACAATATCATAAAAGTGTGCCCCGTGCTACAGATATATTGTTATTGAAATGACACCAACAACGGCCGGGTCCGGGGGAGGCTGCTTCTAACTGAGCTGGGAGTTCCCAGCTCAGAGAAACAAGGCTGCCTGAGAGCGTGCTCTTGCTTTGCTCTTCCCCGATACACAGGACAACAAATGATCGCTCCCAAACCAGCAGGCCTAAGGCTCTCCCCCTATCCCAAGTATGCTCAAGGCCAAATACTGGCTTAGGAATGGAAACGCTTTGCAAAAGCTGAGCTTATGAGTGCTCTCTTGCTGCATCACAAGCCCAGCTCTAGCAGCACTGGGCTAATTTGAGGCCAGTCCGTGGCGTGAACTAAATGAACAGCAAGCCCAGAATAGCTTTGATGGACAGACCGTCACTGGTAGAACGGGGGGTTTACCTCCCAAGGAGAAAGATCCAGCGCAAAATGGAAGCAGCTCTTTGCATAGGCACACGGCCGCTTGGCAGCAGGGACGTGCCTCTCGAAGGCGTCTCAGACGCCTCCGTGACAGAGGTGAGGTGCGCTGTATGCACATCTTGCAGATGAGCTACTGAAACATCTGCTCGGGATCCGCAGCCTGCCAGGGACAAAGGGGTTTTAGCCGGCATTCGTTAAACACACCCTCTCCAGCAGCTGCCTGCAGATGGGGCCCTGGAGGAGCCATCCAGGACCTCACACGGCTAGACAGCAGCCAGCCCCCCACCTCCCAACCCTCCCCAGCATCACAAAGGCCTGCCAGGCTATCGACATGCCCGGAGAAAGCTGCATTTCCTGATCTACAACCCTGCTACAGCGGCTCGGGATGCAGCTGTATCACCAACGTGGCGTTTCAATGACAACAGCTGGCCCCAAACATCTCTGTAAAGCCGCCTTAAGGAAAATTCACAGTTCTCCCA